ATTAGCAAACATGATGGGCTGTGGCGTCCTTCCTTCGAGGTACTTTTAGGTACTCCTTATAGGAGTCCGAAAGTAAAGAGGTTAAAGGTCACTATAGCAGATCGCACTTAGGTACCATAATGGTAACCGAGTGAGTTAATACTTAGCAATAGTCACTAGATAGTAATATATACTAGATAGAAATGTTTTAGTCATAGATTAAAATTATTGATTCAATAAAGTATTAGCATGATTGCTGAAAAAAAAAAAAAAAAAAAAAAAAATCGAATAAATAGATTAAATCAAATAAATAAATATATGAATTGCTTTGCAGACATGGTCTATATATTGTTAATTTGGCGCATTTCCTCTTGAATTCCCCATAAAAGTTTATAATATTGAGCAAGTTCTGTTACACACATATCTTCGGGTCTGTAGAAATACTCTAGCCATTTCCTCTGTATAGTTGTACATGCTCAGATCTTTTTTGCTGTTTCTCAAATATGTTTAACTCTATTGATAAGATTCTCTATTCATAATTCATATCAATAAATAGCTAATATTGTGTAAATATCACTTTCAACTTCTGGTTTTTGTTTAAGCTTCATATACTCTTTGAAACATATATCACAATGTCTATTTCCAGTACAATTTGTATGCCAATATTCCTCCATCTTATAATTGTGATATAATTCATATTCTACTCTTTTATCAACATAAACAAACTAATCACAGCTATAACATATAGCAATATTCACTTTAACAGCTATACGATAACTGAATCCTTCTGTAGATTCCATCTTTCTAGCAATAAGATATTGCTTATTGTAATCAGTCAATTTAGTGTTATTTCTATAATTCACTAATTGATTCTAGATTCAGTTTTTCCAATTAGATAGTGTTTCCTCATCACGAATTACTAGAAATTAGCAGTTATCCCTTCACTTGAAATCATTTAAAACTGGACAATTATCTGTATAGACTATATTTAATGATTAAGTAATTTAATATATTATAGTGTTTTTAGAGATTATGTGATTTATATTGTATTTAAGGATTTAGATCTATTAGATTTAGTACGATATACTATAGAATATCAGAATTCATTTTTTGTGTATTCGAAATAACTCATATTAGATACTCCATATATATAGGTTAAAAACAGATCCAATATGGGTAAAAACTTTATTAATTTTTTTCTATAAAAAATATATATATTCGTAAATATATAACATATATGCTTTTATTATGAATTAGGTAACAGGTCTTCTGCTCTTAATCCACGTCTTGCATGTGACAAATCTAGAAATAATCATCATAATTAATTTTTATTTACATTTAAGATCTAATATTATGTATGTATTTTCTTACTAATACATCCTCTTCTACGATCTGAAAGTTGTGGAGAGATTTGTATCTACTCTGCCTTCAGTTTAAAAAGATATATCTGGCAGTTCAACTTGCAAGCATCTTCAAGATTTTGACACTGCATTAGTCTAGAAACAATATTACCTTTTGCATCTCTCTCTACACTGGTTTTAAGATCATCATATACAGAAGAGAAGTTCTGCAAATGATGAAAGAAGGAGCTATGCACAAAATATATGACACTGTGATGAATTTCCTTTGTGACAGAGAAATTACCTTGGAGAAGAAGGCACGAAGAAAATACTATAACTTGCTTGGGATGAAGTGGAACAATTATTTTTAACTGGGGAAAACAGAGTTCACCTCTGTCAAAATTACCAAGAGCAACAAGACAACAAAGACTATTTGGCTCGTCACTTTTATACTAATAATAGTCACTTACAGTATTATAGTTAATAGCTATCATCAAGAAAATCCCGAATGTTCTAACTCCAAACAGACCCATTTTAACTTATATAATTTATCATACAAGCTTCCATAATACTTTTGAAAAAAATGATTAATACAGTTTGACAATGGAACAAGATCATTTAATAGCTTATTAACACATTCTAAATGTTCAATGTTGTGACTGCTTTCGGTATTTGAACTTAAATAAGGGAGAAGATTATTTAATGTAAAAATACCAAAGTATTCAATGAAATTTTTCTAAAAACTTTTGCTTCGATAGGATGGGAAAGCTAATGTATAAAAATAGTATAAGTTAATAGCATTAGTTGCTTTATTTATAGCATCTAAATTATCTAGTAAATCTAGATGGAGCAAAGTCTGATTATTTTTATCTACAACACACTCTAGGTTTATTATATAACGAAACCCAACTAAGCCTTTAGTAGATTTTAAATCACATACTAACATAAGTGTATAGTTCTTTTCTTTTTTTGTAATATATAGAGCAGTTGATATAGATAATTCTTCATTGCTACAAAGATGCAAAGTATGCTTTAATTTTTGCCAACACAATCGAAGATGTTGTCTTACTTCCCTTCTTTTAATTTTCCCTCCAAATCCAAGCCACCTTCCAAATGCAATCTATGTATGTTTTTCTAAAGAAAAACTAGACACACTAGTTTTTTTATTATGAAAATTATTAGGATTAATAATATCCCTATTTACAATTATCAAAAAGTCAGAGGGGATCTCAAATAATTTGAGTATATTATTGTTTATTTTCGCTTCTCTGATAAGAGTCTCCACTAATAAGCTCTTTATGGAAATCTTATATTGAGTCTTAATACTTACATTTGATTCGCGATCTGATGGACATAAGAGGTACTTGTCCACTCCTTTTCAATATAATATATTTTGTCTTGAGTGTATAGTCTACGGGTGGCTTGCTAGATACGATGCTAAGAAAATGATAGAAAAAAATATAAGATGATTAATTATCGAAAAAATATTAGACTATTGGTTAGAAAAAAAAAATGATTAGATTGCACTTTTTTGCAGAACAAACAAGACATCTTCACCAAAGTACAGAGCCACCAAGTAGTAATTATGAGCCTGTTGAGTCTCACAATGTATATAGTCAGAGGCCCTATCATTCCTGTATTAGAAATAAAATTTTTTGTATGACTAAGTACACCCATACAAATAGCTTGGATAGACATCTTATCAATACAAAAAACAATCTTATACTAATATAACTAGAAATAATACATACCCAGTTTGGATTAAAAATAATGTTTGACCTCGATGATGATACGATGTCAGGAATTAATACTGCTAAGTTACGTCCTTCTGATAAGATTGCACTTTGTTTCTCTTCCTAACATTTTTTATTAATTCGGGCTCAAGCTTGCCATGACAACTTCTTGAGGGGTTCTTTTTGTGATATACTAGCAGGACCAGCAAATGCAGTTTTATATTCTTGCTTCCTAACGAATTTTTGTATCATATTAAAAAACTACAATTTTACTAATAGGCAGAACAAAACAATACCATTCGACGAGCCGTTAGAGTTTAAAGTCCTAGAGCCAATAGTCCTACTCAAGAAGAATGGTAATTATTTTGCAAAATAAAATAGAGGAGCTAATGTTTTTATAAGTGTTTGATTAAATTTGATAATAGGATAAGTATATATAAAAACTCCTACAACAAAAATTTTGGGGCGATTTCACAATAAGATAAGGGATCAAAGTATAGAATTCCAGTTTAAGGATTTTTAGTATAAGAATATCGCGAAAATATAATCAGAAAAGGATATAACCTACAAAAACGTATGAGGCATACATACGAGGTAAGATAATGCCGTGTTTTATATATGTTTTATCGCTATTGCTTATCGTTATTGGCCTAAATAAGACATATGCACTTAAAAATAATACTATACCTGAATTAAATAAAGTATAGCGAATAAAATAAGTTTCTTTGTTAAATAAAAATAACCTTGTCCTACGATATAAAGTTACTATAAAAAGAATAAAAATTAAGAAGCCTTATATAAAAATAGTTAAATTGATTAGATTACGTACGTTAGTAATCAATGACTTTAACAGTGGTTTATTAGTGATAAAAATTTGACTGGCTTTAATAATCAGTAGCCTGCATTAAATTTATGCGGTGTTACCTTAATGCATAATTACTTTCCCAATGTTGATTTTTTAACTGTTAACGTTAACCAATTTTATGAATAACTAGACCTTTATATATGATCCCATAATAAGAATAGGACTCTGCGAAGCAGGAGATGCTTTGCATCCTAAAAAGGCTATAAGGGTAATGAGTATAATGTTTTTTATCAGTAGTTTGGTCCAAATTTATGTATTGCAGGAACTCCGCTATCTCTGAGATCGTCAGATCTAAACCCACCTTAAGCGATCGTCAAATCTAAGAGGGTTAATTTTACCAGAAAAAATAACAAAATAGATTTAGCATTTGGAACTTATAGCCGAATGAGGTTGCTTTACGTGGCTGAATCTGGTATTGTGTTAGGGAAACATAAATACTAATTGTGTAACTTCTCTTTAGATCTAGCGAATTAAACATTATAAAATAAGTGGTTTCAGCTTTTAAGGTGAGTAAACAATAACGTTTTTTTGCTTGTATATTTTTTTGGCTATGCCAGACTCCTATTTAACATACCCACAATTTACTTTCAAAGTCTGGTTATTGTATATTGTTTGCTATAAGAGATTTTTTCATTTCAAAAGCAATTTTTTTCTTACTACAGATTTTTATGTTTCTTGCAGAGTTTCTTCTAAATGGAGCAACTGATTATTGTTAGCCTTAATTGTATTGTCACTAGAAGCAAGTATGAATATGAAGTTTTTACAATTGAGATTTCTAATGATAAAAAGTATGAATTACTCAAATATATGGTAAAAAAATACTTGGCATCTTTGTTTGATTCTATTCCTTCTACTTAAATCATTCTACATCCATCCTCCAATGGTAATTTTTTTAAACCAATGATTAGAATTTCTCAAGACTTCACTACTACCCCCAATGAAAATAGCATTCATGTTTACGTAGACCCCTCAAAAAATTAATTTTTTTATTTGCATTATGTAAATGCGATATATATATTTTATTTGTATGCCATTTCAGCAATATATATATTTTTTTATTTTTAAAATAAAGCAAGGTTCCGAGCACGAAGTATCATTATTTTGAAATATGTTTTTGATGTTCATACTAGTCGTTCTCTGATATTTAGTTATCTTTATTAATCTATGCTTTTACGGTTACTATTGGGATTGAATTCTGAAATTTATTTATATAACAATAGAGACGATAAGTTTTTGTATTGACATAATCGCTACTCTCCTATTCGCCCTCTATATAATTTCTTATATTTTCTTTCTTATGGTTTTTATCACATAAAGGACAGGGTACAGATCTATTAAAATCAAAACAATTACTAGATTTAAAACTATGTTTCAAAGTTAAATAAGGAAATCATTCTAATACCATTTCAATAACGTGTTATTGCCTTTCTTCTAGGTCTTTAGGTAGAACAGAAATTGGTGATCGAAATTTTGATGGCATAGACTAAACATTTACTCGCAGTACAAATAAAGTTTTCTTCTCAAAAGATATCTGTGTGAATTAAGCATGGATTTTTTCCTATTCTTCCATAAGATCATCGAGCCATGCAGTACTCAAACTACTTTTTAGTATACTATGATATAATAACTCTTCACTGACTAGCCTCTCCTGATCTGTTAAAAATTTATGATATTTTCTAGGGTCTTCTTTTCTTTCTATTCCACTATGATAGAAATGTATATCTCTTTCTATATCCCTACGAAAACATCCCATAGTCCACCTATTTTTCTCAGCTCCTGTAATAATTGAAAATTCTTTGGGATTTATTCCATATTCGATGGCATACTGATAAAGGTGATTTTTGTTTGGCGCCATTACCTGAGTTTCTAACAAGCTATCTTGTATGATACGATTATCAGCATTTTCACTTTGTGAAGATTCAGAAGTTTCAGACTTTATCCAAGGATCCAGTTCAGTCTCTTCCGTGTATGCTCTATATAATCTAGAACGAATTTTTTCTGTCTGAAAACTTGGTAAATCAACTAAATTAGCATGCCATTTGCAATAGTTATCAGTTAATATCTTGCTAGAAGTAGTATCAGAAGACATGTTATCATTTTATATTAATACAACTTAATTCAAAATCACATAACTGCCAGACACAGAGTGTCCTACTCTACAGAGAAAAAAATATCACTATCCACTTAACCAGATTTATGTAATTATTTACTTACGCAGTTATTTCAATTTTTTGTTGTCCATATTTAATAAAATAAGATCTAGCTTCATATCTACTTCTTATACTTTTCTTATCTCTATGACTCGACTTGCATGCTGGACATAATGACTTGTCAATAATTCTATGGTACAAGAAGCCTAGAACCGACATCACGTGACTTTCGTGGCCAAAATTCCAGGGTGTTACAAATCATATGATTGATTAATTATCTAATTAAATTTCACAATTCAGTTACATAGGATTAGGATATGATTGGTCAAATATAGATTTAGTGCCGAGTTAGCTTTTTTTTAGATATTGCAGAGGTAAAATCGTAATTTAGCTAGATCTACATAATTGCAGGTGCAATATAGAAGTTTATGTAAGACAATGAAATTTTAAAGTCAATTGTGATGGATAAGTGATGTAATAATGCATGAAAGCAAATGAATAAATAATGATAAGGTTCAATCTGTAAGATTGAACCTATACTTTATTTTCTTGAAATCATTTACAAGTGTTAGAATAAGAAGCAAAATATCATAATAAAGCGAGTGCAAGACATAGCATGAACTCTGCAGACTTGGGTCTCACGATATATAGATCTGGAAGCCCTAGTATTTATAAGGCCATAAAGTAGACCTGTCATATATATCTATAAATCTCTGATATTCATAAAGTCATAAAGTAAACTAGCTTATTTTTTTTTTCTAAGAAAAAAAAAAACCTCTCCCTCCCCCCCCCCCAATAAATCCTTAAAAAAAAAATACCAAAGACATTATAACAAAATTGTGTAAAGAGATTACAGCTTTAATTTTTATTGGATTTAACTCATATTAATCATGCCTCCTCCAAATAAAAGAAAACGCCATCTTGAGGCTGCGAGAAAATCAAAAGCTGAGTATGCGTGTTTAAAAAAAAATAAGACAATGCATCAATCTAATGATTTATTGGATTATGAATCAGTTGATGAAGAACTTGATGATCATATTTGGGTGGATAAAGGAATCAATGAAAAAGCCGATAGTTACTTTGAAGTTTTACTAGCAGCTGCTAGGAATAATAATTCTTGGAAAGTTGCAGGTAGACCTACTTATAATTATGGTGATTCTGGAAGAACATTAAGACGAAAAAAAGCTGAACTAAAAAAAGCAGCATAAAACACAAAATCTATTACTTCCTACTTATCTTTAACCAATTCTTTAAGGTTTAATATTGCTTCGACATCTACTCATAAATTTTTAGCTGCAGATGTAGCAGTGCAATTAATGGAGACAAATTTAGTTGATGAGGCTGTAGATATAATAGTGATTGATGAGAATGGAGATACAATAATGGTTGATAATGCTGTAGATTTAATAGTTGAATTAGCGGAAATAAATGTGAATGATGATAAAGCCTGTATAAAACGAGCAATTAAGGAATTAGACAATATGTTAGAAAAAGACAGTAAACAAATTGATAAAGGAACTAAAGTTTGTTTACAAGCTGCATTGCAATATTTGTGTTTAAGATATCAAGGTTGAACCAAAATAAATTCAAGTGCGACGATTGCTAGGTCATTAGACTGAGGAGCTTACAAAACAAGATATATTCGTACATAGGGTAATGAGTGGTTGAGGTGGTGAAAATTACCAAAAGAGAATCGTGGCAAGTATATGAAAATAGCAAGCCTTATTTATGATGAAAGAATATCAATAAAGAAAAAAAAAAAATAAAATAAATAAATTCTTTTATTTTTAAATGCAATTCCCAATTATTAGTAGCTTACCAAAGATTCTATTTTTAAATAGATAATGTCATGTTTACGATGCAATAAGTTTAGTGTGAACCCCAAGGTTCTAAAAGAATTTGTAGAAAACGAAGTCTTTCCATCTTTAGGCATTGAAAAAAAAACAACTATAAGTGAAAGGACCACATTAGAATGGCTTAAAAAGTTAAGGTGAAGTTATAAGGAATGGAAAAAGGATGTATATGTAGATGGGCATGAATAGGAGGATGTAGTACAGTACTAACAAGAAGTTTTTTTACCCATGATGGCTGAATTAGAATCTTTCTTTATTGAATATGATGAGAATGATTTAACATTAGTTAAAAAAAATATTCCTCTTAATCAAAAACCGCATTGTATAATAATACATGATAAGACAACATTAGCCACTAATGATGATAAAAAAACTAGATAGGGGCCTGGAGGTTTGTGTTTTTCCAGTTAATTTATTTGATAAACTTATTTTTAATTATTTATTTATGTTTTTTTCAAATAGGTGAACAAAAATTACGTCCAAAGGGACGAGGCAGGTGTATTCATGTTAGTGAATTTTTATGTGAACCTTTGGGACATGTTTATTTAACTGTAGAGCAACATTTAGCCTACTTAGAAATTCCAAATAGATACGTTACAGAGACACTTGAAGTTGGTGTAAACTATGATGATTATTGGAATGTTTAGTTGCTTGCTGAACAACTTAAGCAAACAATTGATGTTTTGGAAATTGCACTCCTGAGTACAATTTTTGTATTTGCATTTAATAATAGTTCAAGTCATGGTGCTTTTGCAGAAGATGCATTAGTAGCAAGCAGAATGAATGTAAAATATAGTGGCAAACAACTACAAATGCATCCTGGTCGATTACTTGATAGTACATGTCGCGGCTGATGCTTGAAACAGCTGATGCTTAAAATCACGTGACAATGATCATCAATCAGATGTCGATTACGTAAGTCATTTAATATTGTCAAATGAGGTACGTCATGATATTGTCAGCTGAGATGCGTTATGATAATCAAATAAATGGGCATTGTTCAATAAAAAAAAGAGAAATCTCTTTTTAAATCTGGTCATTTGACCAGATTTGAAAAGAGATTTTCACCTTTTCTAGTGAACGGCACCAAATATTCAAAGTTGGTCCTTCCGGTACTCGCCTCTGGAGCCTATGTGGTTCTTTTAGTTTTACGAATCCTTATGATTTAGAAAAATTACTAGGTTTGCTAGGTTTTTTTTCAATCGATATTTTCGATATTTGAAAATGTCAAGCGGCTTTGAGGGTAAAAAGGTTGGTAGTTTATCAACTGTCATGATTCTACTTAAAATGAAATTCTAGTATTTCACATTAGTAGTTAGCTATTAATTTTTGTAGTTCTTTTTTTTTATCTAAATAACATAGATCCAGTATGCGATACAAGTCTAAGTTTTAAGAAAAAAAAAAAAAAAAGGCTAGTAATTTTGCTATTAGTTTTCGCTACTCTATATTTCTCTATATTTTTATACTGACTTAAATTTATTACAGGGAACCCGATATGCCATGATTCCAGTACTACATAGTTTTAAGGAAAGTAGTATTTTATTATTAGTTTCGTAGTTCTTTTAGTTTGCTTATTGTGATCTTATTTGAACTTATTACAGGAATCTGAATAAGCCAAAATTCTATGCTCTAAGTTACTTTTTTAAAAAAAGTTAGTAACTTGCTATTAGACTCGTAGTTCTTTTGGTTTTTTTATTGTGATCTTATTACAGAAACCTGAATACCCAGAAATTCTGTGCCGGGGTCTTTTTTTAAAATAAAAAAAAGGTTATTAATTTGCTACTAGTTTCACAGTTCTTTTAGTTTTTTTCATTACGATCTTATTTGAACTTATTACAGGAACCTGAATGTGTCGAGATTCTGTGTTCCAAGATTTTTTTTTTTTTTAAAAAAAAAAGTTAGTTATTTGTTACTAGTTTCATAGTTTTTTAAGTTTTCTCATTACAACCTTAACTTGAATTTATTACAAGGCGTCGAGATTCTAAGCTCCAGGATTTTTTTTTAAGAAAAAAGAAAAGGTTAGTAATTTGTTACTAGTTTCATGGTTTTTTTAGTTTTCTCATTATGGCCTTAACTTGAATTTATTACAGGGCGTCGAGATTCTGAGATCCAAGAATTTTTTTTTTCTTTTTTTTTTAAAAAAAAAAGGTTAGTAATTTGTTACTAGTTTCGTGGTTCTTTTAGTTTTCTCATTCAGCTTTACTTGAATTTATTACAGGACACCAAGATTCTGAGCCCCAACAAATTTTTTTTTTTTTTTTTTTTTTTTTTTAAAAAAAGGTTAGTAGTTTGTTAATAGTTCTTTTAGTTTTCTCATTATGATCTTATTTAAACTTATTACAGGAACCTGAATGCACCGAGATTCCGAGTCTTAAGAATTTTTTTTTTTTTAAAAAAAAAAGGTCAGTAATTTGTTACTAGTTTCATAGTTCTTTTAATTTTCTCATTACGACCTTACTTGAACTTATTACAGAAACATGAATGTGTCGAGATTCTGTGCTCAAGTCTTTTTTTTTTCAAAAAAAAAAAAAAAAGCAAGTAATTCGTTATTAGTTTCGTGATTCTTTAGTTTTCTTTATTTGTAATTCTACTTGAACTTATTACAAGAACCTGAATGCGCCGAGATTCTGAGTCAAGAATTTATTTTTCGAAAAAAAAGGTTAGTAATTTGTTACTAGTTTCGTTATTCTTTAGTTTTCTCATATCGATCTTACTTGAACTTAATTACAGCGAAACTTCTGTGCCCCAAGTTATTTTTTTTTTAAAAAAAAAGTATTTTGCTATTAGCTTTGTATTCCATTTGATTTTCTTTAATGTGTTCTTATTTGAATCTGCTACAGGTACCTGAGGTTTTATTTCAAGCTTTTTTTTAAAAAAATGTTTTCTTCATGTTCTTACTTGAATTCATTATAGGAACCAGAATGCCTTGAATCGTGAAAAAAAATAGTTAGTTTAGTTAAAAAATTTGAATGTGCTGAGAAAATATGCTACAGAGTAGAGCATCAACCTGAACTTGTAATTTGCTGGTACCAATATATGCTAACCCAATCCCTAACATGCATCACATATTTTGCTAACCCTATACGCGTCACGTGTTGTGTATTATTGCACGTGTTGATCACAGTATTTAAATGGTGTTACCAGTATTTTTTTTCTAACTCTAACTATGCCAGCAATTCCAAAACTTCTCGGAACACCAACCGAATACAAGGATATAGTTGATTATCTTAAATCAAAAAAAATACCTGAAATCATTCATGATCCTGTGGCAAAACATAGATTTGAGGGTCATTGTAAAAAATTTGAACTAGACGAAAATGAGATTCTTTATCTTTCAGCGGTTTTTAAAAAAGATGAAATGGTATCAGATAGACAGCGTGTAATTCCTAAATATGATGTAGAGTTGCGTGTTTTATTACTAAAAAATTTTCATGACCAGTCAAATCATCGAAATTACCATAAAACATTTTCTGCTCTTTCTGAAAAACATATTGGTGTTATGCAAACTGAGGTTTAGGCTTACGTTAACGAATGTTCAGTTTGTACTATTAATACTTCTATTAAAGAACGAACTGATATGAAATCGGTTACGTCTGTAGCACCTTGGCGGCATATTCAAATTGATTTAATTGATTTTCATGATTTTAAAAATATGAATCACGAGTTTGCATAGTTACTCACATGTGTTTGTACATTTTCAAAATACCTTGTTGCAATCCCTATGAAAAACAAAGAAGCAGGTACAGTTGGTATACATTTAGTTAAGGACGTCTTTAGAATTCTCGGTCCACCATTAGTTTTACAAAGTGACAACGGAAAAGAGTTTGAAGGAATTGTTAAGCAAGTTTGTGAAACTCTTAATATCAGAATTAAACATGGCCGCCCCCGTCACCCTCAGTCCCAAGACAGGTAGAATGACTTAACCAAACAATTGGTCGAGGTTTCACAAAATTGCTGTGGGATCGTAATAATCAGCTTCAAAAAAAAGATTGGATTAATGTATTAGATACTTTCGTAATGTCTTATAATTCAACTATACATACTGCATACAATCGTACATCTCATGAAGTTATGTTTGGTTGGAAAATGCATTGTGTCTATGAAACACCGGATAATGATCAGAATAATGAAATAAATGATTACGAAGTATTAGATAATGATCAGAATAACGAAATGAATATTTACGAAGTACAAGATAATGATTACGATAATGATTACAATAATGAAATGAATTATGGAACACCAAATAATAGTCAGGATAACGAAATGAGTGAAGAATCAAATGGAGATGCTTTAGAAACATTTGATCCTGATAACGCTATAGAAAAACATGTTTTACGAGTATCAAAAATTCATGAGGTTAGCTTTAGAGCAAGCAGTATAACGCCGAATGTAAATTTTTAATATTTTTTTTTTTTTTTTTTTTTTTTTTAAAAAAAAAATAAGGTTAATAGCTTGTTAATAGTTTCGTGGTTCTTTTAGTTTTCTCATTACTGTCTTATTTAAACTTATCACAGGAACCTGAATACACCACAATTCTGAGTCAAGAAGAAAAAAAAAAAAATACCAGTAGTAGTTTTCTATTAGAGCTTGATTTTTTTGGCTTTTTTTTTATTGCGTTCTTGTTTTGCTTGAGCTTACTACAGGCACATGAATGTGCTAAGATTCGTTGTGTTAATTTGAACTTGTAGAAGTCTGAATGCATCGAAATTCTAATCAAAAAAAGATTAATCTTTAGTTCGTAGTTCTTTTAATTTTCATTATTATTTTATTCTGGATTTATTATAGAAAACTCAAATGCACTATGATTCTAGTCCCGATTTAAAAAAGTTAATTTGATATTATTTAGTTTCATGGTTCTTTTAATTTTCATTAGAGTCAAGATTTACTGATTTTATGTATGTCAAAGAAATTCAGAATTATTTTATTTTAATAAAAAAAATATATACAGTATGTGTTTGAAAAAATTACATTTAAATTTTAATATAAAAAATCTTAAAAAAAAAAAAAAAAAAATTTTAAAATCTTTCTTAAAAAAAAAAAAAATTTAAATCTTTCTTAAAAAAAAAAAAAAAAAAAAATTTAAAATCTTTCTTAAAAAAAAAAAAAAAAAAATTTAAAATCTTTCTTAAAAAAAAAAAAAAAAATTTATAATTTTATAACTTTGATCCGTTTAATTGGAACAGGTGTTTCCTTTCCATCAATCTTAACTATCACCATGTGATTATTTGCAGCAAGTCTTACGAAGGTGCCTTGTTGTGAAAACGTTGGCTGTAATTTTTTCTTTCGGGTTTGTGGGTTGTTGTTATGGTCTGGTGCAATATTAACTATAGTTCCGGCTTTAATTGTATTATTTGCCATTTTTTTTCTATGAACACTTCCTTGTTGACACATTTTTGTATAGTATTTTCCTAGCGTAGCATTTACTGACTAAAAAAAAAAAAAAAAAAAAAAAAAATATATATATATTAAAAATTTACATTTGGCATTATACTGCTTGCTCTAAAGCTAACCTCATGAATTTTTAATACTCGTAAAACATGTTTTTCTATAGCGTTATCAGAATCAAATGTTTCTAAAGCATCTCCATTTGATTCTTCACTCATTTCGTTATTCTGACTATTATTTGGTGTTCCATAATTCATTTCATTATTGTAATCATTATTATAATCATTATCTTGTACTTCGTAAATATTCATTTCGTTATTCTGATCATTATCTAATACTTCGTAATCATTTATTTAATTATTCTGATCATTATCCGGTGTTTCATAGACACAATTATTTTCCAACCAAACATAACTTCATGAGGTGTACGATTGTGTGCAGTATGTATAGTTGAATTATAAGACATTACAAAAGCATCTAATACATTAATTCAATCTTTTTTTTGAAGCTGATTATTACGATCCCACAGCAATTTTGTGAAACCTCGACCAATTGTTTGGTTAAATCATTCTACCTGTCCTTGGGACTGAGGGTGACGGGAGCGGCCATGTTTAATTCTAATATTAAGAGTTTCACAAACTTGCTTAACAATTCCTTCAAACTCTTTTCCGTTGTCACTTTGTAAAACTAATGGTGGACCGAGAATTCTAAAGACGTCCTTAACTAAATGTACACCAACTGTACCTGCTTCTTTGTTTTTCATAGGGATTGCAACAAGGTATTTTGAAAACGTACAAACACATGTGAGTAACTATGCAAACCCGTGATTTATATTTTTAAAATCATGAAAATCAATTAAATCAATTTGAATATGCCACCAAGGTGTCACAGACGTAACTGATTTCATATCAGTTCGTTCTTTAATAGAAGTATTAATAGCACAAACTGAACATTCATTAACGTAAGCCTGAACCTCAGTTTGCATAACACCAATATGTTTTTCAGAAAGAGCAGAAAATGTTTTATGGTAATTTCGATGATTTGACTGGTCATGAAAATTTTTTAGTAATAAAACACGCAACTCTACATCATATTTAGGAATTACACGCTGTCTATCTGATACCATTTCATCTTTTTTAAAAACCGCTGAAAGATAAAGAATCTCATTTTCGTCTAGTTCAAATTTTTTACAATGACCCTCAAATCTATGTTTTGCCACAGGATCATGAATGATTTCAGGTATTTTTTTTGATTTAAGATAATCAACTATATCCTTGTATTCAGTTGGTGTTCCGGAAAGTTTTGGAATTGCTGGCATAGTTAGAGTTAGAAAAAAAATACCAGTAACACCATTTAAATACTGTGATCAATACATGCAATAATACACAACACGTGACGCATATAGGGTTAGCAAAACATGTGACGCATGTTAGAGATTGGGTTAGCATGTATTGGTACCAGCAAATTACACGTTCAGGTTGATGCTCTACTCTGTAGCATATTTTCTCAGCACATTCAAATTTTTTAACTAAACTAACCATTTTTTTTCACGATTCAAGGCATTCTGGTTTCTATAATGAATTCAAGTAAGAACACAAAGAAAACATTTTTTTAAAAAAAAGCTTGAAATAAAACCTCAGGTACCTGTAGCAGATTCAAATGAGAACACATTAAAGAAAATCAAAGAGAATACAAAGCTAATAGCAAAATACCTTTTTTTTAAAAAAAAAATAACTTGGGGCACAGAAGTTTCGCTGTAATTAAGTTCAAGTAAGATTGATATGAGAAAACTAAAGAACAACGAAACTAGTAACAAATTACTAACCTTTTTTTTCGAAAAATAAATTCTTGACTCAGAATCTCGGCACATTCAGGTTCCTGTAATAAGTTCAAGTAGAATTATAAATAAAGAAAACTAAAGAATCATGAAACTAATAATGAATTACTTGCCTTTTTTTTTTTTTTTGAAAAAAAAAAGACTTGAGCACAGAATCTCAGTGCATTCATATTTCTGTAATAAGTTCAAGTAAGGTCGTAATGAGAAAATTAAAAGAACCACGAAACTAGTAACAAATTACTGACCTTTTTTTTTTTAAAAAAAAAAAATTCTTGAGACTCGGAATCTCGGCGCATTCAGGTTCCTGTAATAAGTTCAAATAAGATCATAATGAGAAAACTAAAAGAACTATTAACAAACTACTAACCTTTTTTTAAAAAAAAAAAAAAGAAAAAAAAATTTGTTGGGGCTCAGAATCTTGGCATCCTGTAATAAATTCAAGTAAAGCCGAATGAGAAAACTAAAAGAACCACGAAACTAGTAACAAATTACTAACCTTTTTTTTTTAAAAAAAAAAGAAAAAAAAAATTCCTGAATCTCAGAATCTTGACGCCCTGTAATAAATTCAAGTTAAGGCCATAATGAGAAAACTAAAAAAACTACGAAACTAGTAACAAATTACTAACTTTTTCTTTTTTCTTAAAAAAAAATCCTGGAGCTTAGAATCTCGACGCCCTGTAATAAATTCAAGTTAAGGTTATAATGAGAAAACTTAAAAAACTACGAAACTAGTAACAAATAACTAACTTTTTTTTTTTAAAAAAAAAAAAAATCTTGGAACACAGAATCTCGACATATTCAGATTCCTGTAATAAGTTCAAATAAGATTGTAATAAAAAAAACTAAAAGAACTGTGAAACTAGTAGCAAATTAATAACCTTTTTTTTATTTTGAAAAAAGGCCCCGGCACAGAATCTCTAGGTATTCAGGTTTCTGTAATAAGATCACAATAAAGAAACCAAAAGAACTACGAGTCTAATAGCAAGTTACTAACCTTTTTTAAAAAAGTAACTTGGAGCATAGAATTTTGGCATATTCAGATTCCTGTAATAAGTTCAAATAAGATCACAATAAGCAAACTAAAAGAACCACGAAACTAATAATAAAATACTACTTTCCTTAAAACTATGTAGTACTGGAATCATGGCATATCAGGTTCCCTGTAATAAATTCAAGTCAGTATAAAAATATAGAGAAGTATAGAGTAGCGAAAACTAATAGCAAAATTACTAGCCTTTTTTTTTTTTTTTTCTTAAAACTTAGACTTGTATCGCATACTGGATCTATGTTATTTAGATAAAAAAAAAGAACTACAAAAATTAATAGCTAACTACTAATGTGAAATACTAGAATTTCATTTTAAGTAGAATCATGACAGTTGATAAACTACCAACCTTTTTACCCTCAAAGCCGCTTGACATTTTCAAATATCGAAAATATCGATTGAAAAAAAACCTAGCAAACCTAGTAATTTTTCTAAATCATAAGGATTCGTAAAACTAAAAGAACCACATAGGCTCTGGAGGCGAGTACCGGAAGGACCAACTTTAATATTTGGTGCCGTTCACTAGAAAAGGTAAAAATCTCTTTTCAAATCTGGTCAATTGACCGAATTTAAAAAGAGATTTCTCTTTTTTTTTTGAATAACGCACATTTATTTGATTATCATGATGCATCTCAGCTGACAATATCACGACACACCTCATTTGACGATATTAAATGACTTACGTAATCGACATCTGATTGATGATCATTGTCACGTGATTTCAAGCATCAGCCATTTCAAGCATCAGCTGCAACATTTATTAAATTTAAAATGATATTTTATTGATTTTATTAATAATAATTATTCACCTGAAAAAAGATCGATATTTTGTTGATAAGTTTACGATTATAAATATTTTTAATGATATATATATGATTTTAAAAATTTACTATTATAATCATTTTAAAAGCTGATATTAAAATGATAAATATAATTTTTCTATTATTTTAAGAAGATATTTTATACTAATATAAATTTTACTATAAATTAAAACATTTATTTATAGGAATTACAACTAATACCTGTTGTTGTCCATTACCATGTCTAAATTTATATGTTGATTTAATAAATCGGCCTAATATCCTTTGTATGGGGAGTATGCAATCTCTTGATTCTAGATAAAATTTCTCATGCCAGATTTCAATATCACAATGATTATTATCCTTTAATAATAGATAAAATCTATAGGTAATATATAGTCGATACTATTTTACATAAGCTAAATGGTATATATTATCATTATATTTATGCTGTAAAAAGAATTGTATTTGTTCCAGATAAATATCAACTGATTCACCTTTATAAGCAATGAATTTTGCTCTGATATACGAAAGATTGACATAGCTAGAGGCAATCTTTGATCCATATATTTCCAATCCTAATTTTAATCTTCCATATTGTGTAGCAACTTTATTAATTGATAGTGATGTTAATTCATAAAGAGTTGTATAATAATCTTTTAGATTTTGATAAACATTTTCTAGAAGTTGTACATTTTTATATATCAGTTTTATCATCTCACTAGGATATCTTTCTAATCCTGTTATAATATTTGTATTAATTTTATCTGCTATATCAATATATGCTATTAAATCTTCACTTTTGAAATTTTCAGTTATCTTTAAACTTTTGTGTACTTTTTTATTTAAAAGTGAAAGAACTTTGTACAGTGGTAATTCGCTATCCTTTCTATTAGCTAAACTTATTCTATATTCTACTTGCACATTTTTTATTAGAATACGCATAAGTTCTGGTTCTATTGACCGATTGCTTGTTAGATAAGAATCTAATAGGCTATTCATCTTTTCAAATAAATAGCACCAATAAGCATATAATGGACTATAATCAAGACAACATTGCTTATGTGAAGAGAAAGATGAATATTTGACGATATTAATTCTGTAACATAATTCTCCTCAATTAACTTAGCTATTTTTATTAATTGCCTATGCACTTCATTTAGGTTACTTTGTTTGACTATTCAACTTATTAATAAATTACATGCACTAACAAAATTAAAGAGAATTTCTCTATCTTCAAGATTTAGCATATTCTACATGCAAGGAATAGCATAAACTTAATAGAAAATTCTCTATTGATCTGCAGTTAATCAGCTAAATCCTTCTGACCTTTGCGCTATTTTTGATGAAACACGGCCTATATCTGCTAGAACTTTAGTACTTGAAATATGCTTTTTAAAATTTTAAGTTGTTCTTTGCTAAGTTTATTATTATTCAATAAACATTGCTTCATTATTCATTTTCTGATACCTAAAAGTAGACAATGCATCAGGTTGACAACTATAAATTTAACTAGATCAAAATATTTTAGCTAATATAATTCTGACTATCTTACTCATATTTTAGATATATGATCATCTCTTTTTTGTTTATTTGTACTATTTAACCATTCTTTCACTATATCAAAATATTTTGTTATGTCTACTAGATTAAACTATTTATCTATATTTTCAAAACTACCATAGTAACTTCTTTTAGATAAATTATCATATGTTATATATTTTAGACAGCGATGATATTTTACTGTATAACTTGCATGACTACAAATCTTTTTTGCAGCTGGAATATCATTTGATGATAGAATCAATGTGACATAAATTTTGTGTTCTTTTTTATATTCAAATGTTGCTAGTAAATCTATAC